GGGTCCGGGCTAGGGATTCGAACCCGCCACCTTAGGTGTACGTGGCTGGCGCCTTAGCCAGTTGAGCTATAGGCGCCGAGCCTATTGACATTTTCTATTGTCATTATACCTTCCCTTCCTTCTTTAAGCATGATTTCCTTTAGTTCTATAAGGACTGCTTTGAAGTCTTATGTTAAGCCTAGGCCCCTCACAGGCAGTTTCTTTTTATTGAGACAGAGTCTTACTCTGTTGCCCTGGGTAGAGCGCTGTGGTGACACAGCTCGCAGCAACCCCAAACTCCAAGGCTTAAGCAATTCTCTTGCCTCAGCCTCCCAAGTAGCTGGGACTACAGGCACCTGCCACAATGCCTAGTTATTATTATTATTTTTTGTAGTTGTCATTGTTGATTTTAGCTGGCCCAGGCCAGTTTCAAACCCGCCAGCCTCAGTGTATGTGGCTGGTGCCTTACCCACTGAGCTACATGTGCCACCTCACAGACAGTTTCTACAGCCTGTTTTGTTTTTCCCTGTCTATAGGTAATACTTTACTGTGTCATTGCATATCTTGTAGTTTTTTGGTGAAAACTGGACACTTTAGGTAATATGTTGTAGCCCGTGTGCATGTGATTATTGTTTAACTATTCATTTGTTTGGCTGGACTATTATAGTGAAGTCTGTTCTCCTATACCATGAAGCCTCTACTGTTGCTGTAATTCCTCTAAAGGTACAGTCTTGGGCTTATGCCTAGACATTCTGGGATGACAGTGGTTTTAGGAAATTCCCTTTGATTGACTTTTCCCTGATCATACCAAGCTATTACAGCTGGCTGGGTGCTGTATTGTTTTTTGACAATACCACAGAGCATAATTGCTCCAAAGATTGATCCAATTAAATTTGATTTTCTTTTTTTTTTTTTTTGAAACAGAGTCTCACTTGGTCGACCTCAATAGAGTACTATGGCATCATAGCTCACAGCAACCTCAAATTCTTGGGCTCAAATGATTCTCTTGCCTCAACCTCCCAGTAGCTGGGACTATAGGTGCACAATAACGGGACACAATAACACCAGACTATTTTTAGAGATGGGGTCTCACTCTTGCTCAGGCTGCTCTCAAATCTGTGAACTCAGGCAATCCACCTGCATCAGCCTCCCAAAGTGCTAGGATTACAGGTGTGAGCCCATACCCAGCCCCTATAATTTGGTCTTCTTTAACAGGGTAGCTTTTGAGATCAGGTTTGTTCTATCTGCAGGAAGGCTCTTAGCTATCTCTTTCCTCAGTTCTCTCTGGTAAACTGAGAGAGAGGGCCTATGGCTTAGCCTACAGCTACAGCTGGTACCTATAATGCAGGTACCAGCTCCTTTTCATTGTTCCTCACCAGAACCCCCATTGATTTCTTTTTCTTTATTTTCTCTGGAGATAATTCCTGTTCTTTTGCTTAGGCTAAAGTGCCATAGTGAGTGTCATCATAGGTCACTGCAACCTGGGCTGAAGTGATCCTCCTGCCTCAGCCTCCCACCTCCATTGATTTTGACAGCACCTATAGGCTTGAATTTCCCCAGTTCAAGATAGGTAAATTTTTCAGGGGAGAGTTTCAGAGCTCTCTGTTTTACAACCTACCTCTACCCCTAAGCTAATCTCTGAACCATGTTATGGAGCTGGGTGCAAGACATTGGTGCACTTCTCTGCCTTAGAATCAGGTTGCATGGTGGGGGTGGAAGCAGGGCCAGTATCCCCTGGCCTTCTTAGTTTGCCTCTCCCATTGTGGAACCTCCTTCCTACAGTGAGGTGGGGTTTGGGCAATTGGGGTTCTGTGTTCCCAGCCTGCTGAGTCCTGAGATAGAACCTTTACTCTGTTAGGGGGATGCTGGTGAAAGAAGGGAGCCCCTGACCTATTTGCCACACTCAGTTGGAATTTAGTCTCTGCCATGTGGTGTTGGGAGGGGTGAGAAGTGCTGGAGCCCAGCCTTCCTGGGGCAGATAGCCTAATCCTAGACTGGGAGCTGGGGGAGAGGGCAGCTGCCACACCTGCCCCTAGTTATAAGGCAGGTGCTGAGGGGAGGGCAGGAAATGAGTGTCATGCTTCAGGTGTCAACATGGTCCATGTTCTTATCAAGATTTTGCAGATTTTCTTATATAAATGTTTCTTCATTTTCTATTTATCTTTAGTACTACATCCAGAGACTCTATATATTTGATTATGAATAATTTTTACCAGTTATTCCTGTTTCATCAGGGACAGGGTCCACAGGGCTCCTCACACTGCCTGCCATTCTGGGAGTGTTAGCACCACAACTATGAAAAAGAAAGAAATAAACTTGGAATTCAGTGTTTCTTTACTTTGGAATTAGAGATAAGGCTTGGTGGGCCTGTATGGATATTTCCATCTTAAGGTCTTAGAAGAGGCTGCATAGCTGATGGACAAAGCTACATCATGATGAGGTAGGGATGGACAGACAGGCAGTCTGACTCTGAATCCACCTCAGTTTTAGCTTCTCTAGGGGACTACCACAAGGCCCTGAAGGACCTGGGCCCTGTGGTTTTCATTTTATATTTCTGTAATCTCTGAAATACAGACATCCCCATATGCAGGTATATGTATATATCTGTCCTCTATTTTTTTCCTGGTAGGTGCTTGTCACCCCCACGGCCTTCATGTTTAAAGCTGAATGTGTGTGTGGTGTAGATGTGGCTCTCTTCCACAGCCTCTTTGGGGCCATAGAACCCCACTTTATGAGGGGCACTGTTTGAGTGTACTCAGCCTCCATCTCTGCCCCTAGGCTTCCTGCGCTGGCCATGCCTGTGCCCACGGAGGGTACCCCGCCACCCCTGAGTGGCACCCCGGTTCCAGTCCCAGCCTACTTCCGCCATGCAGAACCTGGCTTTTCTCTCAAGAGGCCTGGGGGACTCAGCCGGAGCCTCCCACCTCGGCCCCCTGCCAAAGGCAGCATCCCTATCAGCCGACTCTTCCCTCCTCGGACCCCAGGCTGGCACCAGTCCCAGCCCCGGAGGGTGTCATTCCGGGGTGAGACCACAAACACACTACAGAGCCCAGGGTATGACCCAAGCCGGCCAGAATCCTTCTTCCAGCAGAATTTCCAGAGGCTCAGCCGACTGGGCCATGGCTCCTACGGAGAGGTCTTCAAGGTGAGTGTAAGGGCAGCTTCCAGGGCCCATTGGGAGCCCCTTTGCCTTCCTACCTCTCCCTGGGCAGGATGGTATACTGGGAAGCCTGTTTTTCTTCTCTCCCCCATGGCCTGCACTACCCCCTCCCCTGAGTTTGGTTTGGCTGTTCTCACACTCCTAATCAGGCCCCTCTGAGGGCTGTCTCAGTGCACACTAAACCCCTTGTCCAGAGCCTGGCACGCTCTGCAGTGGCCAAGCTGTCATCTCCTCCTGGCCTGTGGCCTGGAGCCAGCTGCACTGGGGTCCTTGGCAAGCTGTCTGCTTAGGGCTGGCACTACCCCCTGCCTGCCACTTTGTTCTTCTAAAACGTTTTACATTTTCTTCAAAATGATAATTTTCCCTTGCATAAGTAATGTATGAAAATCATTTCTTTTTTCTTTTTGAGACAGAGTCTCATTTGGTCACCCTTGGCAGAGTGCCATGGCGTCTTAGCTCACAGCAACCTCAAACTCTTGGGCTCAAACAATTCTCTTGCCTCAGCCTCCCAAATAGCTGGGTCTACAGGTGCCTGTCACAACACCCGGTTATTTTTTACAGTCAGGGGGTCTGGCTCTTGCTCAGGCAATCTATCCACCTCAGCTTCCCAAGTGCTGGGATTACTGGCATGAGCCACTGCACCCAGCAAGACAATTTGTTAAAAAGAACAAACAGGCCAGGTGCAGTAACTCACACCTATAATCCTAGTACTATGGGAAGCCAAGGTGGGAGGATCCCTTGAGCTCAAGAGTTCGGAGACCAGCCTGAGCAAGAGCAAGATCCCATCTCTACTTAAAATAGAAGAATGAGGGTCGCGCCTATGGCTCAAAGGAGTAGGGCGCCGGCCCCATATGCCAGAGGTGGTGGGTTCAAACCCAGCCCTGGCTAAAAACTAAAGAAAAAAAAAAAAAAGAAAAATGAACTGGGTATTGTGGCAGATACCTATAGTTTCAGCTACTCAGGAGGATTGCTTGAACCCAGGAGTTTGAGGCTTTAGTGAGCTATGATGATGGCACTACACTCTATCCAGGGTGACAGTGAGATTCTGTCTCAATCCACCAGTCAATAATACAAACAGTAGGCCCCACGGTCAGCTCTTCTTCCCAGAGGAAACCACTTTCACACGGCAGCACAGATGCCTCTATTCCTCGTAGCCAGCTTTTTTACTTCACAACATGTCTTTGAGATTCTCCTGGGTCAGTACTTGTGGTTCTATCCCTTCTCTTCCATCACTGGTCTCTAGTGAACCAGCCCCTACAGATGGAGGTGTGTCCAGTTCTGCCATTGTAGTGGGCAGGAGTCTCTGCAACACATGCCAGCTGTTCTACCTTGCACGTGTGAAAACTTAATGGAATTTGCTGGGTTATCCCCTCCCACCCCGTGGGGTGCCACTGACAGCCCACCTTCCATGAGGCCCCCTCCCTTCCAGGTGCGCTCCAAAGAAGATGGCCGGCTTTATGCTGTAAAGCGCTCCATGTCACCATTCCGGGGCCCCAAGGACCGGGCCCGGAAGTTGGCTGAGGTAGGCGGCCACGAGAAGGTGGGGCAGCACCCACGCTGCGTGCAGCTGGAGCGGGCCTGGGAGGAGGGCGGCATCTTGTACCTGCAGACAGAGCTCTGTGGGCCCAGCCTGCAGCAGCACTGTGAAGCTTGGGGTGCAAGCCTGCCTGAAGCCCAGGTCTGGGGCTACCTGCGGGACATTCTGCTTGCCCTGGCCCACCTGCATGGCCAAGGTCTGGTCCACCTTGATGTCAAGCCTGCCAACATCTTCCTGGGGCCCCGAGGTCGCTGCAAGCTTGGTGACTTTGGGCTGCTGGTGGAGCTGGGTACAGCTGGGGCCAGCGAAGCTCAGGAAGGAGACCCCCGCTATATGGCCCCTGAGCTACTGCAGGGCTCCTACGGGACAGCATCAGATGTATTCAGGTAAGGAGATGTTCAGCAGGGGTCCCAGGCTGTGGGGGAAGTCTTCCTGGGGGGCAGCTGGTTGAGAAAGGGACTCCCCAGAGGGACTCCTTCCCTAGCCCTAGCCCATTCCCTATAAGCACCAGGGATAGGGGATGTCAGGGATAGGGGATGTTGCCTTTGCCCTCCAGTCTAGGGCTCTCCAAGGCTCCTATAAGCAGTAAATCCTCTGAGCTAATTTGATGGTCTTGCCTACCTCCTCCTCCGCTCCGTAGGAGGAGCTGTTATTGCTCCATTCACAGGGATGACATGGCACAGGGAGGGTAAGTGACTTGTCTGAGGCCCACAGTTAACAGGTGGTACAGCTGGGACTGGCCCCAGGCACTGAGGTCCTTGAGTCCACACTGGCCATTGCCCTGATAATCAGGATGAGTAATACTAGTCACTGTAGTGACTATGGCACCTGTCCAGTGGGGCATTGGAAGGACCTGCCCTGGTAGCACATCTGCTACACTAGGCATGGGGCCTATGCTCCATGACATGGTCCCTTTCCTGTCAGGGTCTCCGCAGGGCTCCCCTACTTCCTGCTTCCTTATTTCTCTGACTTATGGCAAAAGACAGTGGCCCTTTCCCATCCTTGTCCAAGAGATAGCCCAGATGCGGGGCTGTGTCCTTAAGCCAACCCTGGTACTTTCTGTCCTGATATCCTGTCCCTCCCAGTCTGGGTCTCACTATTCTGGAAGTGGCATGCAACATGGAGCTGCCCCGTGGTGGGGAGGGCTGGCAGCAGCTGCGCCAGGGCTACCTGCCCCCCGAGTTCACTGCTGGTGAGTGAGGGGGGCAAGGGCAGGAGGGGTGTGCTCCCTTGGACTCCCATGGAAGGAGTGGCTGGTGGTGGGGGCACTCACTGGGCTCAGGGCCCAGTCAGCATGTGGGATCCCTGCTATAGCCCTGCTTTGTGGCCAGGCCTGTCTGCTGAGCTGCGTTCTGTCCTCGTCATGATGTTGGAGCCAGACCCCAAACTGCGGGCCACAGCTGAGGCCCTCCTGGCCTTGCCAGTGCTCAGGCAGCCTTGGCCCTGGAGTGTTCTGTGGTACATGGCTGCCGAGGCCTTAAGTCGAGGCTGGGCCCTGTGGCAGGTAAGCCTTCTACAGTGATGGGCTGCCCACCTGCTCCCAGCCCCAGGCTTTGTGTAGGCTCTTGAGGCTCCCTCTCCCCACAGGCCCTGCTTGCCCTGCTGTGCTGGTTCTGGCATGGGTTGGCTTACCCTGTTAGTTGGCTACAGCCACCAGGCCCACCAGCTACCCCGCCCGGCTCACCGCCCTGTAGCCTGCTCCTGGACAGCAGCCTCTCCAGCAACTGGGATGACGACAGCATAGGGTAAGTGATAACACAGGATACATGGCAGGGAGTAGGGATGGAACCTCTGTGGCCAAACAGAGAGGAGGCCCAGGCCCCAGCTCTGCAGAGATTAGTGGTGAATGCGGACCCCTCCCACAAACTTGGCCATCACAACCCCAGGAAGGGAACCAAGGCTAGTTGGGGGTGTGGCTTAGCCTGGTGTGAATGCAGTTTGGTATGGTCTGCCACACATAGCACAATCTTATTGGGGGTGGCAGGTGGTGTGGCCCCCAACTCAGTGGAGGCTTCCAGTGTCCAGGCACAAGGTACTATCCCTTCTCTGGGATGAAAAACCCTCTTAGCACCTGGAGAGCCTCTGCCTGGGGAGGATATTTCATCCCAAGTGCCTGATGGCCAAGTGAGAGGCTGTAATTAAGAAACTACATGCTCAGGGCAGACAGCTCTTGGGGGAATTCTGCCATTAACCCTTCCCTTACAAAAATGTCACCCCTTCACTCAGGGCACTTTAAAGTAGCCACATACTGCCAGAAAACTTCATTTACTATAACTTCACTTCAAATCCACTTCAGTCAAAGTCCATGTGTCCTATAAAGGAACAGAGGGAGCCTTTGTGTAGTCAGGTGGAAGGACTTTGAAGGCTGTCAGTGCTTCTTCAAAGTGCACCAAGTTTTTATTGTCCCCAGCTATGGTTCCCTGGCTGTCAAGTGGGAGTCTGAGACCTGCATGAGCTAGTCTCATCCTGCCCTCTACACCTGACATCCTGCCTCTCTCCAATCCCCCTGTAGGCCCTTACTCTCCCCAGAGGCCATTCTGGCCCGGGCAGGGAACACTTCCACACCCCGGAGCAGGTATACACCCAGGTGAGCAGACCCAGGGGCCAAAGGGCAGGCAGTTGGCATTCAGATCCTGAGTGTCATTTCTTTCCTCTCCTCCCAGGGATGTCCTGGACCTCAGTGACATTGACTCAGAGCCTCCCCGGGGTTCTCTCCCCTCCTTTGAACCTCGGAACCTTCTCAGCCTCTTTGAGGACTCCCTAGAGCCAACCTGAGCCCCAGGCTTGCCCTGGGCACTTTTAGTCTTTTATTCTGTTTCCCTCCCATTCCCCTAAAAGGTGGGATCCCTCTGGAAACTCTCTCTGCCTGGCTGTGTCTAATAAAAGGTATCTGAATCCTGGAAACACCCATGCTTGCTTGTGTAGCAGTAGCCCTTCCTGTCCTTTTACTAGTGTCAAACCAGGGTCTTAGGCCCCTGAGGCTAAGCTCTTTTGCAGAACCCAAGCCATCAGGCCTTGGGCCAGCAGACTGGAGCCACACACTGTGTGAAGCAGAGATTTCCTGAGCGAGCACGTCCCTGGTGGACAGGTTGAACCATTGGCACTCCAGGTAGAGGGTGGGCCTGAAGCCCAGTGCTAGTTGCCTGGAAAATGCAGTGGCAGCAGCCCTCATGCCCTTTGGTCAGCTGGTATGAAAAGGATCAGTGTCCACTTAGTCCTGCTGCCCCAAACACCTTACTCCATGGTGTGTGGACATAGGGAGAAGGGGTGAGTGTTTGGCTCCTGGGACAGCTGAAAACTGAGGCTAGAAGTATGGACTGGCCAGAGACTCAGCAGGGGCCTGGAGGGAAGGACCAGAGGGGGTAACGGCTCTGGGCTGGTGTGTACCTGCTAAGTTGGCAGCACTTCAACTGTCAAAGCAAGATGTGACCCCAGAGTCACTCTAGCCCAACCCTCACAGGTCACAGGGGGGAAGGCCCAGAGGGAAGGGCTTTCTTCCAGCCAATCCAGTATAACTGCAGCCTGGAGGGAGAAGGCAGGGAGAAGAAGCTGGAGCTCCAAGGCAATGGGTGGAAGAAGAGGTTAGTCCACAGGGAAGAATGGATGAGCAGATGTGGGCTCTCAGCTGAGATGGCTCATCCACTGGGAGTATCCAGGGAGCTATTCCCTTGTAGAACAGCAGGAGGGAAGCATGGCTGTTGACACTAGGCCATGGGGACAGCCTCTAGTCAGTCCAGGGGACAGATGTGGTGGGCAGCCCAGAGTAGGTCAGGCACAACACCGGCGTGCAGCTGGAGAATTGAGCCCACGCTGAGTAGGTGCATGATCTGGTGGGAGTTGCCCCAGTAGTCGAAGCGGCCAGGTCCCCAGCGCTCTGGCAGGCGGGCCACATTCACTAGGCCCCCAAGCAGCGCCAGTGCATCCATGCGTAGGTAGCAGGGCAGGGAGCCTGGAGCCCCTGTGCCCAGCCCCATTCCCCGGGCCCCAAACACTAGCAGGCGGGCACCAGCCTGCCAACCAAAGGCTCGGAGCCGGGCACTGGTGGAGGGGGCAGTGAGGGCCCGCCAGCCAGCCACGCCTGACAGCACAGTGTAGCCCACCAGGGCAGCTGGACGCAGCCAGGGCCTGCAGGCCAGGGTACAGTGGATGATGGGCAGAGCCCCTGCATGGGAGAAAGCAGGAGAGGTCATGTCAGTCTGACAGTCCATCTGCCCTTACTTACCCAGGGCTCATATGAATGCCCCTACTGCTGTCCCCATCCCCCAGGGCCCTGACTCACCGAGGGTGTTGACAATGCAGACCCCACACATATCCAGGGCGAGAAGCCGGGCATACACAGGGCTGCCGCCTTGGTGGCACATGAAGAGGTGATAAAGCACAGAGCCTGCAGGTGGTGCCAGGCAGGCCACACAGTGTGTGCCCCCCAGCCAGCCATCCTTGCCCAGCTGACCCCAAGGCATGGTCATCGGTACCAGCACCAGGAAACCCAGCAGGGCTAGCCCTGGTGGAGGGAGACAGTTATTCATCAGGCAGTTCCAGCATGGAGGACTAGACAACTCAGGAGGGACCGGAACAAGATAGGTCATGATAATGCTAAGACTAAGGCAGGCTCTAGGCTAAAGGCTTTTAGAAACTTTAGTTACTAATGGCTCAGGACAGTTCTGGAAAGTAGAGAACATCATCACCACTTAGGTGAGGAAACCAAGGCTCACAGAGGTTGAATAACTTGCCCCAGGTGAGCTCAGCAGGTAAGCAATGGACAGAGGACTGCCTGGGCCATCTAACTTCTACACTGTTCTCAACCGCAAGCAGGGGGCCCCCGACCTGGCCTAGGTGTCAGCAGAAACCTAAGGAAGTGCAAGCTCAAACTGAGTCTTGAAGAGGTTTCCTGGGCAATGAAAGCAACCTGGGGAATCCCATTTGTCCCAGTCCCCCCACACCGTTCCCTCAGGCGTTCTGGCTTTGCTCTCACAGGGGTCAAACGGTGCCAGCAAGATGCCCATTCTGGGTGGGATTTGGGAGTACAGTAGCTGGGGAAATGTGCTGAGATTGGGCCCAGCCAGCCCAGGGCCCCTCTCCCTGCCTGAGCAGCTCAAGGACGGGCAGGGCTGTGTCAGCAGAGCTTGGCCAGGCCGCGGAGGAGGGGCCGGGCGCCTGCAGTGAGAGGAAGAAGTAGCCACCAGGCGGAGCCCCAAGACAGCTGCTGGGGCGGGGGCATCAAGGTGGCTGCGGCCGGCTTCTCCCAGGCCCCTTCTTGCTGCAGTCAACACCCCTCTCCAGGATGAGTGCTGGCGGGGGGAGGATGCCCGGAATGCTGGGATTAAGAAGAGCTGGACAATCTCCCTGCAACTGGGCTCAGCGGAGTTAAGCAGGCTCAGCCGCCCACTCTGCTCCCCTCTCCTGACCCAGGGCCCCACCAGGAACGCGGAAGCTGGCAGCGTGGCCCAGGACAATAGCAGCTTTGTCACGGCGGCTACGGGTTGTGTCAGGGCTGGGGCAGCCCAAGACTTGGGCGCTCCTTCGAATCCCCCGACTCGGCACCGGCAAAGCGGCCGTGGCCTTCGAGTCCCCCGACCCGGCACCGGCAAAGCGGCCGTGGCAGTAGGATGCGCGTTGCGGCTCACCGTGCGTGTAGATGTTGCCCAGTTCGTTGTGCAGGTAGAAGAGGCTGCGTAGACAGCCCGAGCCGCTGCTGGCTGGGCGGTAGCCCGTCAGCACGAACTTATTGAACTGCAGGTGCGGTGGCGAGTTGGCCCAATCCAGCAGCCGCGGCCCCGCCAGGAACGCCATGGCCCGGCACGGCGCGGGCGGCCCGCGCCCCTACAGCTCCCGGGCCGCCGCCTCAATAGAGCTGCAGCGCCCAGAGGCTCATTCCGGCTCGCGCCCCGCTGCGCCCCTAGTTACCCTGCGCTCGGTCGGCGCAGGCGCCAGCCGGGGTAAGGGTGGGTCGCGCCCCGCGCCCCTCCGCGCTGCGCACGCGCGCGTCAGACGCCCACGCGCCGAGGGGAAAGCTGGGGACGTGCCCGGAGTCCGAGTGCAGTGCGGTCGGCTGCGCCGGGGTTAGGCGTATCGCTGGAGAAGCTTGCAGTGGCAGCGGTCAGTCGCTTCGCCTCAGCCCAGAGGACGAGCGCGCCGGACGCGAGAGGGGACTCCAGGCTCCGCCCCGGCTCCTGGCCTCAGCCATCCTGCCCAGATTTCGCGCGCTGGGCTCCTGACGTCGCCGCTGCAAGGGCCAATGGGCGCGGCCAGCGGGGAGGCTCCGCCCTGAGGCCGACCCGGCCTTAGTTCTGTTGGTTTAATGTGCGTGGACTCAGCCTTATTTGCAAGAGGAGTCTGTTGGCTTGGGACTCGACGTTCTGAATCTTGCGGGCTCCGCTAAGTGACCCTGGCACCTTGCATCCCTCAGGATTGCGCGCCTGGGTTTTCTGTGTGACCCCCAGGTTTCTGCACCTTTGGACACCTGTCCTAGAGGATACAGCCCCACCAGTCAGCCCCACCCTGCAGACTGGGCTCTGTCCAAGGTGCTGCCGGACGGGTCCGGCCTAGAGTCGGTCCACTCCCACCCTGGGTGTTCTCCCAGCCGGCTGAACTCTTCTGGAGCGCAGCAAGCTGTGCCATGGTTCCCAGGCCTCTGAGGGTGTGCCTGACGCGCCAGAGCCCTCAGGCAAGGCCCTGCTCTTCCAGTCAGGCTTCTCGGAACTTGAGCTCAGTCCAACTCGCTCCCTCTTATCACCCACAAGGCGCACCCTCGGCCCCGCCCAAGACAGATGGGAAACAGATGATAAACCACAAGGCAGGAAGCAAGGAGAGAAAGTTGGCCTCTGTCCTGTCCACGCTAAGCAGGGAGCAGGAGGGTACCCCTTCGTCATAAGTCTGCCCACAATCCTTCTTATCCTCCCTCCACCTTCCACAGATCCTGCTGACCACCCACCCTCCTGTGTTCTCCATCCCTAGTCCTCTGCATTCCAGGCGGCCCCTCGAAACTTATTGTACACAACACCCTTCATTTGCATGGACACAGGCAAAGCACAGCTCCTGTTATCCATCTTATATGTGTGTGTGTGTGTGTGTGTGTGTGTGTATACTCCTGGCTATTTTTAGAGATGAGGGCTCTCTCTGGCTCAGGCTGGTTTCAAACCTATGAGCTCAGGCAATCCACCTGCCTTGGTCTCCAAGAGTTCTAGGATTACAGACATGAGCCACCGTGCCTGGCCTGTATCCTTATTAATATGCTCCTCTCATCACATAAGAACTTGAGGAGACGCATACCAAAACAGAACCTTTATTTAAAATCTGTGGTGGGTCTTTTTTTTTTCTTTTAACAGAGTTTCACTTTGTTGCTCTCAGTAGAGTGCCATGGCCTCATAGCCCACAGCAGCCTCAAACTCTTGGGCTCAAGTGCTCCTCTAGCCTCAGCCTCCCCAGTAGCTGAGACTACAGGCACCTGACACAAAGGCCTGGCGAATTTTTAGAGACAGGGGTCTCTCTCTTGCTCTGGATGGTCTCGAACTCCTGAGCTCAGGTGATTCAACCGCCTTGGCCTCCCAGACTGCTAGGATTACAGGTGTGAGCCACTTCACCCTGCATTGTGTCAGATCTTTTTGATCATTTTCTTGATCTCTGACTTCTCACTGAGGGCATCAGTCTAGGACCACCCTAAGAGTGGCTCAAAGACCTCTAAAACCACATCAAGGTCCATGGGAAGTGGGCTGGATTCTTGTCCTTTGCCCTCAACCATATGAACTTGGAGGATCATACCAAGATACTTATAATATAGCACCAGATGCTTCCTGTCCAACTTCTGGTCTTCCCAAGATGACCAGAGGCCAAACTGCTCTTAAAGAGTCAGAAGGCCAAGGTAGGGTGCGGCATAGCATCTCAGGTATCCATCTTGCTGGTGGAGGGTCCAAGGAGGTCCAAATCAAAGAGCAGAGATGAGTGAGCGCAAGGAGCTCTGGCTGGAGGCACTCAGTGGCCGATAGCTTGGGGCAGGACCCTCAGCCTGAGAGTCCCCAGGGGGGCACGGCAGGGCCACCTCTTGGGGCCGACGGTACCATACAGCCCACCTTTTCCCGGGTCCCTCGGAAGGACCCAGCGCCGGGGCCCCTTTTCCTGGAGCCAGCAGACAGCTCCTAGAGAGGGAGCAGAGGTCAGCTGTACCCTGACTGATGAAATCCACGTAGAGCATCCTTGCTCTGCCTGCAATCTGACATTGCGATTCTCTCTATGGACCTAAGACCTCGCTTTCTCAAGAACCCAGGAGTTCATTCCTAGCCCAGTGAATCTCTTGGGCCCCAGCGTCCCACCAAGGGCCCCACGCGCCCCAGGGCACCGACGTGACAGGTACCCGGCGCAGGATCCGCCCTCAGGCCCTGCCCCAGCGCCCGCACCGTCGGCGCAGAAGACGCAGCAGCGACAGGAACAGCAGCAGCAGCACTGAGACACTCATCACCGTCGAGAAGACCGGGGCTGCGGGCACACGGGTGCAGTAAAGACAAGGCTCAGAAGGGGCCGTTCCCTGACTCCCTCCCGCCTTGCACGCTTGCCTCACCTCCCATCGCAACTGGCGGAGCCCTGGGCCTGGGGCTGCAGCTCACGTTGGCCCCGTCAGGGGGCGCATTGGTGGTTTGGGCCGAGTCCTTGTGGGATGCCGGGTCTTCTATGCTCTCCGGCAGCCCTGTGGAGAGGGGTATGAGGCGGGGTAGAAGGGAACCGGCTGGGGATGGAGGGCTCGGAGCTGAGCTCACCGCGGTAGGTGAGCGCGAACCCCTGCGCGTGGCCGCGTGAGTCGCTGCGGAAGGTGATCAGCAGCGCGGCAGCGCGCAGGCGCAACGGCCCAGGCGGCGGCGGGCGGGCGCCGTCGAAGGCGCGGAGCAGGTGGCCGGAGGTAGCGTCGCGTAGCTCCAGTCTATCGCGCTGGTCAGCCAGCTCAAAGAGGCGGAAGGTGAGCTCCAGCGCGGCGCCCGGCGGGCCCAGAGCCCAACTGCAGTTCCTGTCAGGTCCATACTCGTCGGGGAAATCCGGGGAGTAGACGACACCCTGAGGCGCCGTCCAGTTCCCCTGGCAGGAGCCCACGGACACTGCAGGCATGGCTGGCAGTCAGGACCTTGAGGCCAGGAGGGTTCTTCCTTGACCGCGCAGAGCTCCACATCAAAGCGACTCTCCTACCCAGCTAGGGCCCACCCAGGCCCTCATCCTTGACCTCTCCTCACCTTCATAGATGCCCAGGCGCCCATCGCCGCCGCACAGCTGGCCCGGGTGGCCAAAACAGATCTGATCACAGTCGGTGGCCAGGGCCAGGCGTCCCCTGGCCAGGTCACTCTCAGTGCCACAGAAGCAGGCATAACCAGCCTCCACGCCTGCCAGCTGGGAGCACAGACTGGGTGACCCCTGAGGTAGGGGTAGGATAGGGGTGAAGTGATGGGAGCCTAGGGTTGGGCTAGATGTGAGAATTTGACTGGATGTTCAGAAATTAGTGTCTGGGTTTGGCACCTGAGTGATGGGAGTTGAGTAGGGTCCTGAGATCAAGATCAGGGGTTACTGGTCTGGGCCTGTGAGTAGTACCTGGTAGCCCTTCATACGGCAGAAGCGAAGGCACACTTGGACCGTGAGCTTTGTGGAAGTGCCACTGGGGCCGCTGAGGGCTGGGGGCGCTCCTGAGTCCACGAAACAGCCCAGGTAGCCCGGCACTGAAGGGGCAGGAGAGTTAGGCTCCCACACCTCTGAAAGCAACCCAGCCACTGTTGCACTCCCCCTTTGTCCAGCCAGGACCACTCACTGTGACACGTGGGAATGTCGCAATAGCGCCAGTAGATGCCCTCCTCCGTTTCGGCCACATAGCACCAGGGCTGCACGTCGCCGTCTGGGTTACTACCAGTTGACGGGAGGTGGTCAAGATCCCACTGCCCTGGGAACAGCAAACCCAGGCCAAAACCCCACATCCTACGTGCACGGTGACTACTCAGGCTTCTGGCGTGTTGGAGGCTATGCTCCTCTCCGCATTGGTGGTTTGGGCCGAGTCCTTGTGGGGTGCCGGCACACCCCACTAAAACAAATTCTAGTTTTCTCCACCTGCTGCTGGATTTCGACTTCTGAGTTGACGGTGGGAAGTCATTAAAGGGGCCTTAAGGTCTGTTTTTAGGACTTCAGCTGTTGGTAGGGCTTGACCTCATATACGAGAAGTTTGAGGCCATCTGTAGTCTTCATCGCCACCCAGCCATACAACCCCACTTAAAAAGCAGAAGTGATGAACCCTAAGCTTTGCGGTTCAACACGGAAGTGTCCTTCTGCTTCATTCTTGCGGCTCCAGACAGCAATTGTGGCTCTGAACCCTAATCCCCCAACACCCGGCAAAGAAGTTGTATGGCAAGAGCCCATCCCGCTTCAGGGCCCGCCTCTGAACAGTCCTTGCTTCCACGGGACCTCTTGAGTTCCCAGGTCAGGTCCTTGTCTCCTGTCCTTGACCTCAGCCTCTGCAGTAGTTCTGCACCTAAGGCCCTTTGACCAAAAGGTCTGCGCGGCTCGCCCCCCCCCCCATCCCCCGAGCACTAGATAGGCCCCGCCTCTCTGTCTTTGGCTTCGCCCCGTTTCCCTGCAGATTGCATACTCCCTCAGCGCAGACCTCCGCCCCGCCCACGTGGGGGTCCAGCCTCAGGCGGTCAACACTGTGGCGCTCCCAGCCCCACCCCCCTGTGCAGGCCCCGCCCCTCACCGGCAGAAGTTGTGCGCGCCCAGCCCCCAGCGGCCGTGAGGGTCGCTGGCGCTGCTGTAGCTGTGCTGCTGCGTCTGATTCCAGAAAAGGCACGGGCGGCCAGCCCCGCGCGGGCCGGTGCGGTTCTGGTGGCCGCGGTAGTCGGCACCATTCACCTGGAAGCACTCGGACAGGCCTGCACGGCAACGGCGGGGCCTGGGGACATCCGGACCCACTCTGGGTATCCTCGACCCCCCACCCCTGCCAACTTCGCGCCTAAGTCCCCAGCCAGTGCCCCTTGTACCCGCCCCCGCAGGGGCCCTCGGGCTGCCCAGCTGCTTCAGCCACCTGCTCAGCCTCTTCCCCAGCCTCAGGAGCTCCGCTCTGGGCGCCAAGACCGAGGAAGGGGTGGTGACCATGACCGGCCACGGTGCCCTCACTCACCTGGACTGTGCAGGCTCTCCGCAGAGGCCTCGTGTGGCTGCAGCAGCGGGAAAAAGAGGAGGAGGAAGCCCTGTAGGACCCGTGTCCCCATCGCCGCCAATGAAGGAGAGGTCGCACTCTCCCAGACACGGCCCGGGATGTCCCCAGGGTCGCTCTGGAGTCTCCTAGGCTGTCTGGAGGGCGTAGTATTCTGACCGTTTGTCCTCGTTTCACTCTGGGTGCCGCTCTCTGTCTGGGACAGGGAACTATCTCCTGGGGGTCTTTGCCTTCCAGGGGCTCTGCCCCTGGAGGCCTCTCTCTGCCCCTGTCCCTACCCCAGGTCTCTCCGGAGGGTATATGGATGGGGGCCTTCTCAGTCTTAGCCTCTTAGTGCTCTGGGTAGTGCCTTGGCCTCTACAACCACCGCTTCTCGCTGCGCCTGGCTCTCTGAGTCTCCTTCGCCCAGGTCTCTAACGCGCTGGCTCTTGCCCCCCTCGTGTCCCTCCGCGGGTCCCTCCCGGCTAGGTTCCTCCCCATCCCAGGAGGCCGGGAAGCCCCGCCCCAGACTGGAGTGGAGGCAGCAGGTCCAGACACCTCCCACAGACGTCCCCCCGACCCTCAGCATCCCGACGCAGGCCACCCGGCTTCTCCCCCTAACAGGGTCGGTGCGGGTTCAAGTGGGAGGGTGTGGAGGGGTCAGGACAGGCAAGCAGAGAGGAGAACCTTAAAGGGGTGACACAGGACCCCCTCCCAGGACTGCACCCGCCTCGGGACACCTCGGAGTCCCCAGGTCACAAATACCCTCATTCAAGTGCCCCACGCAGTTCCACTCAGTTATCCATTCATTATCAACTGATCACACTCACACTTTCTCCGAAACCCCAGCGTTCCCAGAAGGAGGAAGTGCCACTCCCTACCTAGCCCATCACCCGGGACAGGCGGGAATCCTGGACGCTCAGTCCTGGACAGGCAGGGGCAGCTGGTGTCTGGGGAGAAAGGCAGCTGCGACCTTGGTCCCAGTCCGATCCCTCCTCCTCTCCCCCTCCCTAGGACCCCCAGCTCTTATTCTCCAAGCCTTCACAGTGCTGTGGAATTCCCCTAGCTGTGCCCCCCACCTGCGAAGGAGGGGGAGGGGAGCAGGCCCAGGCAGGCGTGGGGGGAAATTCCCGCCCCCTCCCTCTGAGACCGGCTCTTCAGAGTCCTCTGATCTCCCAGCGTCACCCGCCCGCTGGCCCCAGGGCTTGGGGGGAGGCCAGCCCAGGTGCGTGGGAAGGCGAGGGCGGAGGCGGAGGAGGGAGCAGGAGCTGGTGGATCCAGAGCGCCCTGCCCCACCCAGACCCCTTGCCCCTAAGTCCCGCCGGCCCACCTTTCATCAGGCCCTTGCCAGGCTGTCCAACCCAGGTGGACCTGTACATGCCCTGTAGCCCCCACTGGCCCCCTCCATCTCGGAACTGATGGAAAAGCAAGGTGGGGGTGCAGAGAGGATTTTGACAGGCCAGGGTGCCTATGCGGGGGTCAGACCAGCGGGATTATACACTTAGTGTGTGGGGCAAGTCCAGGGGATGAGGGGCACTTGAAGGAGATGGGCCTGCAGAGAATCTATGCCATTGTTCAGGTTGCCTCCTCAGGAAGCCCTCTCAGTGTCCAGGCTGGCCTGGGCTCCTGGAGAGCACTAAACTGAGAGCCTCTCTCAGGTGCTGGTTCAGAGCTGGCACCCACCTGACCTACCCTGAGGTGGGAGCACCCTGCAGACAACTGTCCACTGGGTCTTTCTTCTCCCTCTGGCTGGAGAGCACAAGTGCCGAGGGAGGGTCTTGGTGGCATTGCCCCAGGCCTTTGGAGAATGTCTTCCAGAGGGACTGAAGGATGGTGATGCTTCACCTCCAGGGTCACAGCCAGCTAAGGAAGGAACAATCAGGATCCCACATGTGAAACCTGGATCAAGTAGAAGAAGTATTGGCAGAGGCGCTGCCCTCCTTCCTGGGGAAGCACCGGTCTAAGAGCACTGTCCCAGGCCCCCAGGCCCCAGTCTCCTACAAAGGGAGCCATGGATAGGAGGAAGGGGATGCACCAATATGGGATGAAGAGTTGTTCTTGCCACAAGTTCATCTCAGGTCCTCATGGAAACTTGGAGAACTCAGCCCTTCACCCTCTCCTGCCTCATTTTTTGAGCATTTGGCATTCAGCGCTTTGCAAGCAGTGGCACGTCTGCCCTCCCTCAGCCCTGCAGGGTGGGGGACACCTTGCATCTCCCCATTCTGCAGATGGGCTGACTAGGGATCAGAGGCCATAGTGACTCATGGACAGTCACCAGCTATTAAGTGTTGGAGCTGTGATTCAGATTCCACTCGGCCAAGAGCTGAGCATTGCTTAGGCCCCCATCCCATATGCTTGAGGGTCCTTTGGGTATAGAGAGGCTCCTTCTTGCCTGTGTACACTGGGGATCACAACACCCCTCCCATGTCCCTGCCATGAGCTAACATCTTCAGAGTAGGACCTTTAGCAGCCCCTTTCCCAGACGGGGAGACTGAAGTCAGAGAGGGGCAGGAGTCATCCCAAGTTCAGCAGGGCCTGACATCTGACCGTCCTGTGGTAGACCTTAGACCCTGACTTGGCTTGTCAGTTGAGAGGAGCGGATTCACAGGCTAAGAGCAGCCACGTGGAGGCAGCAGAGAGAAAGGAGCCAAGGACTTGGTCTTGGTAGGTGGAGGAGTAACCCAGGGCTTGAGTGGGTCTTTCATTTCCCTCCTTTGGGGCATGGGATGAAGGAATCACTCTATTGGGGTAGAGAAGAGGTAGGGTGGGTGGGGGATCTTGGGTAAAAGGAAGGGCTGGACCACTTTGTTTCAGTCACTCCTTCAGGAAAGGAAGGAGAGGATCAGTGCAGGGGCAGGGGTGTGTGTTTCTGTAGCAGCCCTTTTCTTCCAGGACAGCAGAGTAAGGGGGAAGGTGAGGTTGGACCTGGTATGGAGTTTAGGACACCTAATTTACAGCCCTCCACCTGCTCAGCTGGCATGGGTCTTCTTCCTTCTGTTTTCTTTTTTTTTTTTTTTTTTTGAGACAGAGCCTCAAGCTATCCCCCTGGGTAGAGTGCCGTGGCATCACGCTCACAGCAACTTCCAACTCCTGGGCTCAAGTGAGTCTCCTGCCTTAGCCTCCCAAGTAGGTGGGACTACAGGCGCCCGCCACAACACCTGGCCATTTTTTGGTTGCAGCCATCATTGTTGTTTGGCGGGCCCGGGCTGGGGATTCGAACCCGCCACCTTAGGTGTATGTGGCTGGGGCCTTAGCCGCTTGAGCCACAGGCGCCGAGCCATTCCTTCTGTTTTCTTATCTTTCTAGTGGACATAATGTTCTATTTGGGTCCCATTCCTCACGACAGGGGTACATCAGGGCCACCAAGGCAAAAGGAAGCATTAGAAATGTTCTGTGGGCAACGAACACTCAGGGAACTTGGGCAGGCCCTGGGAGAGGTGAACCAGGCCAGGCCTCACTTCCAAGACCTTCAAGCTTAGTCCTCTAAGACCTTGAGGGCAGCCCCGGGGTGCTCTTGGGTTAGAGGCTTGGTTTCAGGGAAGTTAGGAAGAGGATCCCTACTGAGGGGCCTTGGGGTCCCAGGAGCTCCCCAGCCCTGATTCTCTTCATGGGAGAGCTGTGTTCCTCCCAACTGCCACATACCTGCCTCCCACCTGTGTCTACTAATCCCGGATCCTCCAGCTCCTACACAAATCACTGACTCCATCTCCTGGCCTCTCTCACAGGAGTTCAGGGCTGTGGTAGATTTCAGTCTCTGGTCTAGTCCCATCCTCATCAGTAGGCAGCTTATGAGAAACACAGATTGTCAGGCTCCACCCAAACCTCCCTTAGCACCTGTATTTTTACAAGATCCCTGGGTGCGAAGTATAGAAAGCCCCTGTCAGACTTGGCCAACAACAGCCTCAGTTTCTTTCTTGTCCATTCACAAACTGAAGAGAGACCCAGGCCTTGAGAAGGGTGAAGGGAGCTAGATCTCTGAGTGATCTTGTGGAAAGTGCCTGCCAGGTAGAAGCATTGGCGTAGATCTCTGATGAGTGAGAAATAAACAGCTATGTGTTAAGCCACTGAGATTGGGAGCTTGCTGGTGACAGCAGCTGGCATTACCTACATTAAGCATGTCCCAGATCACACCCCCACTATTATTCCACGCTTAACTATTACTCCTTCTATTGTTCACTCAGCTCTTTTCTTCTGTGTCAGCTTCCTAGGGCTATTGTAACAAAGTGTCACCAACTGGAGTTTTTTCTTTTCTTTTCTTTTCTTTTTTAAAGAGTTCACTAGTTTTATTTATTTTATTTATTTTTTCAGTTTTTGGCTGGGGCTGGGTTTGAACCACCACCTCTGCCATATGGGGCCAGCGCCCTACTCTTTTGAGCCACAGGCACCACCCTTTTTCTTTTTTTTTGAGACAGAATCTCACTATGTTGCCCTTGGTAGAATACTGTGGCATCACAGCTCACAGCAACCTCAAACTCTTGGGCTTAAGTGATTCTCTTGCCTCAGCCTCCCAAGTAACTGGGACTGCAGGCACCTGCCACAATGCCCGGCTACCAACTGGAGATCTTTTTTTTTTTTTTTTAAGAGACATACTCTTACTTTGTTATCCTTGGTAGAGTGCTGTGGTGTCACAGCTCTTGGACTTAGGTGATTCTCTTGCGTCAGCCTCCCGAGTAGCTGGGACTACAGATGCCTGCCACAACGCCTGGCTATTTTTTTGTTGCAGTTTGGTCAGGGCTGGGTTTGAACCCGCCACCCTTGGTATGTGGGGCTGGCGCTCTACTCGCTGAGCCACCGCCCCCCTCAACTGGAGATCTTAAACAGCAGAGATTTATCATCTCTCAGTTCTGGAGGCTGGAAGCCCAGGATGGAGGTGTTAGGGTTGGTTGCTTCGCAGGCTCTGAGGGATAGTCTATTCCAGGCCTCTCTTAGTTTCTGGTGTTTTGCTGGCAATCTTTAGCATTCCTTGGCTTATAGAAACATCACTTCAAACTGCCTCCATCATGACAAGGTGCTTTCCCCATGTGCATGCCTGTGCCCAAATTCCCCTTTTTATAAGAACACCAGCATTTTGGATTA